TCTGTGGGCCCTCACCTTCAAGGCCTCGCCACTCTCCACAGAGACATCACCATCCAAAACATGTGGTCACAGCAAGAGTCAGAGATCAGTTTAGAGATCTATGAGTCAGGAGGAAATAAACTCCTCCATTCCAGCCTCTGTCACTCTGTCTCAGTAATTCATACAATTAATCTTGAAAAAAACTTTAATGTTACCTTTCAAATCAGACCAAGATTATGACTGTAGCCCAGAGGTGGGAATAGCACCCCCTTTTAATTTGGGAATGCCATTACAGGCAAAGTGGGGCGTCAGTTAACGCTTTACATGCCCAGGCCCCACCAGCAGACCCAAAGTTTTATTACACACTTCTATAAACTAAGAATAGTTCAGCCAGTTTGTATTGAAGTCCCTGTAGTTACTGAATAATAAGCCTTAGTATGTAATAAGCCTGAGATTAAAAGGCCCATTTCCAGTCAAAATGGCTTTGAGTTATTCATTTTCAGGAGATGTTTCTGAGGAGATTAGATATAAGATAACCCACTTGCATAAGGAAGTCAAAAGTAAGTGAGTGGAAAAACAAAGTGGGAGTCCTAACAACCCTGAAAGACCTGGAAGACCACCAGAACTGGCCCCATCAGATAAACAAGAGAAAATCAAACTCTACTCTCAATTCAGATCTGGAAAACATCAACATCACTGAATGTGTTTGGGATTCTTTGGATCACAAGAAGCAGAAAGTGCAACCAACTTTGACAACTAAACTTTGGAGGTGTATAAAGACATCCCAACTTTCTTCTGGAAAACGGAAATATGTGGTCGGAAAGGAATGAAAGGTAAAGAGTGGACAAATAAACACTGAACAATTTGAGATTGTTTTATGCGTTTAAGCTTCTTTGTAATTTTTTGCTTTGAAACCGAGAGACGAATGTAATGCTAGGGTGACTAACCAGATGCTGCGGATATAAAAATAAACCGGAAGGTATAATAAAAGGAGAATTCAGCAAAGGAACACGGTTTACACCAGACCAGGTCAAAAAACAAGCGAACGAAGTAGAGAAACAAGTGAAACCAAAAAGCCAAAACACTGGTAAACTGAGCCAAAGGGGTTAATCCGAAAAACGACAACAAGAGACAAAACAAGGTCATAACAGGAAAATGGCAAAACATGAGACCCCCATGGACCCTCACAGAGCAGATACTATTTGGGTGGTGGATCATTCTCAGCACTGCAGTAACACTGACGTGGTGGTGGTGTGTTAGTGTGTGTTATGCTGGTCTGAGTGGATCAGACACAGCAGTGATGCTGGAGTTTTTAAACACTGTGTCCACTCACTGTCCACTCTATTAGACACTCCTACCTTGTCAGTCCACCTCATAGATGTAAAGTTGCACTGTTTGTGTTGGTCATCCTCAAGTCCTTCATCAGTGGTCACAGGACGCTGCCCACAGGACGCTGTTGGCTGGATGTTTTTGGTTGGTGGACTATTCTCAGTCCAGCAGTGACACTGAGGTGTTTAAAAACTCCAGCAGCACTGCTGTGTCTGATCCACTCAGACCAGCGCAACATACACTAACACACCACCACGTCAGTGTTACTGCAGTGCTGAGAATGATCCACCACCCAAATAGTACCTGCTCTGTGAGGGTCCATGGGGGTCCTGACCACTGAAGAACAGGGTAAAAGGGGGCTAACAAAGTATCAGAGAAACAGATGGACTACAGTCTGTAACTGTAGAACTACAAAGTGCACCTATATAGTAAGTGGAGCTGATAAAATGGACAATGAGTGTAGAAACAAGGAGGTGGTCAGAATGTTGCCTGATTGGTGTACACATAGGCAAACGGGTAAACATAATTAGTATTCAGGTGAGTGAGATCTGCTGACTGAATGCTGATTAGCTGGCTGAGTCACATGACAAACTGAGGAGTCTTGGTAATTGGAGTTTGCATTGAAGTGTGAGTCTGACTGAGGACTGGGAATCGTGGCAATGAACTTGATGGCAGTTTTGACTCCAAATGAAACACTTTAGCACAGTACTGTCCTTTTAATATGCGATTCATTGCATTACATTTTCACTGTCCATTATGAGGAGACATTCTTGTGGATGTGGTCATATGTTACCCCCTTAAAATCTCAGGCTTATTACATACTAAGGCTTATAATTCAGTAACTACAGGGACTGCAATGCAAACTGGTTGAGCTATTCTTAGGCTATAGAAGAGTGTAATAAAACATTGGCTGACCGGTGGGCTCTGGCCATATAAAGGGTTAAAATACAAATTCAAAAGATGCTGGAAATGCAATTACACCACACTCTGTTGCATTCTACAAATGATCATCATCGTCCTCATCATATCCATCACAGCTGGCTGTACTATTATAAGCCTGTTGTCATTAACAGTCTAAGGCATTTACAGCCTGGGGTCACCCTGAACTGCACAGTTTAGTGTTCTCGGCTCTCACAAACACATGCTGACTTCATGAAGGGCTGATAGGTTGAATCAGGCATGTTGGAATGAGGAGAAGCACTAAAATTGAATTCAATTTGTGGTAAAGGCCAGGTACGGCTCATGCTCAGTCGCTGAGCTGTGCTGACACCCGCAGGCAGGTGAGTAGGTGGCTGAGCAGCAGTGCATTGTGGGTGATGATGTACTGCCTATGTTGCTGATAATAACCTCATTAAGTTGGACGATGTGTTTATTAGGTTAACAAGTACTCCAGTAATGCAGTTTACAATTACAAACCCAACAGCAGTTTGCGCTGCTGCTGTCCGTGGTGCTGAAATCATGTAGAAGGCGCTGGATTGAATTGAATGGCTTGAAACGATGTACATTATTTCCACATGAATGAAATCTATTACATCAACACATGTTTCCAGAAAGAAAGTACACAACTGAGTTGATATATTTTATTCATGTGGAAATTATTCAAATGTAAGCAAATTTAATGCATCTGTTTGCTCAGAGTTTGGCTTAAATCCAAGGCTTGTCCAAGAGAAGAAGAAATACAACCCATATCCAAATGATTTCTGGAGATAGCCTCACTAGGTCGGTTCCTCGGACCCAAATTATGCCTAAGCCTAGGCTAAATGGGATGCACCATTGGCAGTGCAGTTTAGTCCAAAACCAGGCTTAATCCATGTTCAGGAAACAAATATATATATATATATATATATATATATATATATATATATATATATATATATATATTATTCTGCAATCTGTATTTATGATGTATCTATTTGCTTCATTACATTTTGTAAAGCTTACTGCAATGGCTATATCGCTATATCACTTTTTTCAATGGTACGATACTGAAACCTTGAGTATCAGCCGATACCTATCCGATATTATTTTCTTAAAAAATGCTGAGCTTTACACACAATTTTTTAAACCGGAGTGCTTCAATTTCATCACAATTTCTACATAATAAAACCATTAAGATGTGAACAAAGTCATTCAGAGTGGTTTGATGTAAAATGTTTCATTCTAGAGAAACCTGTTCACAGTGGTGGTGATAGGAACCAGATGTCCACCTCTGAAAGCTCCCTCACAGAAAGTTACTACATGAAACAGTTCTGCCTGATGACTGAGACACTGTTTCGCAGTAGTTTGAATTAAGGTTTTGGCCTAAAACATATTTTTCAAAATCAATTCATGGTGGAGACGTACATGCACTGTGTTATGTGGCAAAGAAAACTTATTTACTTATTTCAGATTTTCCACTATTTTACTATCATCAACATTCCATATAAAAGCTCAGAAGACTCGTGTAGGTTCACTGGTGGTTTTGTATAATAAATAAAATGTCTATATTTGTGTTGTAGTCATGGCGACCCCTGGTTCCTATCACCACCACTGTAAAGAGATCTGAACCATTTCACACCAAACCACTCTGAATCACATCTCAACTACTGAATTATGCACAAAATTGTGAAATTAATTTTAAAAAGGAGCATCTAAAGTAGGAGATCATGCTCAGAGTACTCAAATGCTCCAATACCTCATGAGAAGAAATCCATTCCATCCAGAAATGTCCCTGTCTACACCTTAAAAAGATGGTTCCTCAAGGGTTTTTAGCGAAGGCGACAGTTCTATTTAGAACTATGAGCTCTATATAGAACAGTTTCATGCTTAAATGTCTCTTTGTGTGGTGAAATGGTTCTTCAGGTTGATGGAGAATGTGTTGGGTCAAGCTTGTAAGAATAGCAGAACCCTTATTGGAGCTATATAGAACCATGTTCACAGAGGTGGGTGATATCTCAAATGTAATATCATGATACTTTGAAAAGTTTTTTTTTTATGATACACAGTGAGTCATAATATTTATTTTTAAGACAGCAAATAATTTAGAACAGACAAAACAGAGCCACATTTTTCATTATTCAACACACTGTGCTGCACTAACCCTAATTAAACAGGACTAATTATGCTCTCTTTTTAATCAAACATGCAGCTGGAAAGCGAATCGTAAAATATTGTGTTTGTAATGTAATTTATCATGATACCAATAAATATTGTCAAATTGCCCAGCTCTAATCTACATTCTCCAACCTGAAGAACCATTTCACCATGCTCAGAACCATTTAAGCATGCACATGGTTCTCTATAGAATTCAAGGTTCCTAGTAGAACCCTTGCCTTTACTGAAGAACCCTTCTTTTCTAAGGGTGTAGTTTAAAGTGGGGGTGTTATGGCTTGATCATGTATAGTTCCTCAGTATGTGCTTTAAACAGGCGCTTCACTGCCAATATAAAAACACGTGATGTTCCTTTTAACACTGACGGCAGTTTCCTAAAAATCAAAGATGATATGACGTCACTTCGCCTTCATTAAAGAGTCGCCGCTCTAAACAAGCTGCAGGACGTTTTTGGCGCTACTGAACTGCCCAAACTGTGCGCGAGTTGCTCTCAGAGAATGACGATTCACAGTCAAACGAAGCCCACCACAGCCCCCCCATCAATCATGTGGTGCCAAAAAGGTGATGCACGTGCAGAGGAAAGGGAGTCTCGTGCTTCTTACCTTGTCTGACATGAAACGTGTGTGCAGCAGGGCGCTGAAGCAGGACTGGGTGTTTTGCTCGTTTTCAGAAAAATGAAGCTCTAATCTCGCAGAGCGCGCGCCTCTGGTGCCAGCGCATTTGGCGAGGAATGTCAAGGAATTTTAGGTGTGCATTACATAACTTCTGGGCTGCTATCTCCAAATTCCCGCTGCTGCTTCTCCCGTGTCGATGCTCCTCCAGCTTCCCGCAGCTCGCGGCGCAACTCGAACCGCTTTGGGAGAGGGAATAAACAGCTCTGAAGAGTCCACGAGTGGGACGGAGAGACCCTCACGCTGGTTTGACTCGGCTCTTCTCTAATTCCTTTAGCATCCCAAGTGTTGCTGATGCACGAGGGAAAAACCCGCCGGGCGCTGGGTGCAAAATAATAATAACAACAACAATAATTACGGTTATAACTCCCTCGGGAGGCAGCGCGTGCTCCGCTCCTTTCACGCGCGGAGTCGTTCGAAGCGGAGCAGCCTGCATCGTCTCGTGTCCCCGGTTCTCGCGGCGGAACGCAGCCTGGCGCTCGCGCGCTGACTCATCTGCATCACGGAGAATGTTAATGCGGTCAGTAACGGCGATGATAATCCACAGAAACGGGCTTAAAGGGCAGCGTCACTCCGGCGTCCCCGCGCGCGCTCACGGCGATCTGGCAGGTGGATCCGAAGCGAAGGGAGGTGGAGAAAAACTCCTGTGATGTGCGCGCGCAGTGGTGAAGTTTAGTAAGCGTAGTGGTCTTCTGTTCCACATGGGCTCTGCGCGCGCTGCTGCTGCTGTTGCTTTTTTATTTTTTATCTTGCACCACCTAGACTACCGCTGATCCTTAGTGCTCGTGCCTCCACCCTGCGCGCGAGGACGACGCTCCAGCGCTACACACACGCGCGCATCCACAAACTCACAGCACACAGCACGAGCTGAAGATGAGGCGGTGAGGCAGGTGGGAGGAGGAGGAGGAGGAGGGGAAAAGAGAGGGAGGAGGAGAAAGGGGAGAAAAAAATGAAAAGGAGGGGGGGATCTCATCACGGGAGAAAAGCTTCATACGAGCAGACAGGCGTCCACGCGCGCGCACGGCGTTTGCTGGCACGGAAGCGAAGAGCCTAAGAGAGAGAGAGACAGAGAGAGAGAGAGAGAGATGGGGAGTAGAGGGGGAGAGAGAAAGAGAGGGAAGGAGAGTAGAGAGTAAAGAGGGAGAGTGAGATGGAGAAAGAAAGAAAGAAAGAAAGAAAGAAAGAAAGAAAGAAACAGTAAAGAGATGGAGATCGAGGAAGAAAGAAAGAGTGAAAAGAGAGAAGAAAGAGAAAGTGAGAAAGAGAAGGCGAGTAGAGGAGGAGAGAGAAAGAAAGAGAGAGGGAGGGTACAGAGAGAGAGGAAGAGTGAGGAAAGATAGAGAATGAAAGAGAGACAGTAAAGAAAGAGAGAGAAGGAGAGTAGAGAGAGGGAGAGAGATGGGAGAAATAGAGAGCAAAGAGAGAGAGGGAGTAAAGAGACACAGACAGAGAGAGGGATGGAGTAAAAAGAGGCAGAGAAAGAGAGAGAGAGAGAGGGAGTAAAGAGAGAGAGAGAAAAAGAGGGAGTAAAGATAGAGAGAGAGAGAGAGAGATAGGGAGTAAAGAGAGAGAGTAAGAGAGAGAGACAGAGAGAGAGTGGGTGAAGAAAAAAAGCACCACTGCAGTGATGAAACTGTAGGCATTTGCAAATTAGCTTGAGCGTGAATTTGGTCTGGGGGAGAATCAGGTGTGCTGACGACCTGATGATGAAGACAAGACTGCAGAGAGAACAATGAGTTAACTGAAGAGAGAGCGAGACAGAGAGAGAGAGAGAGAGAGAGAGAGAGAGAAAGAGAGAGAGAGGGGAGAGAGAGAGAGCATTACGTACTATGAGACATGAGGTAATTATATTCTCTGGATTGTTATCTTGAGATGACGAGTTAATTATCTTATCTTGAGATAACAAAGTTGTTATCTTAAAATAATGAGTTAATCATCTTATCTCAAGATAACAAAGCTGTTATCTTGAAATAACAAGTTAATTATCTTGTTATCTTGAGATAACAAACTTGTTTTCTTGAAATAATCAGTTAATCATCTGGTATCTTGAGATAATAAAAGCTGTTATCTTGAGATAACGAGTTAATCAACTTGTTATCACAAGATAACAACCCAGAAAATTATAGCAACAGCCCAATGGCCCCTCTGGACTTCCGTAGTTCTGGATTTCTTGCCACACTTTCGGGAAAAGAGCAGGTGTTGCTGTCCGTGGTGCTGATATGGATAATAGATTAAACTTCATGCTCTGTTTGGGGTCCTGTGGAGGTCCAGATCCTGTTTGAAAGATCAACAAACATATTTAGACACAGTTGTATTAGTTTGATACCTAAAATGACTTTCCCTACTTTTAAGAAGCGTAATTTTGACCTCAGTTAACCTTTTGTCACAGTAGCCACAACATTTTCCACCTGCTTTAGACGAGGTCTCAGTCGAGCTGGGTGAATAGATGTAATGGAAATGTGTTTGATTTACAAAACCAAACTTCGTGGCTGAGCAAGCACGTTAACATTTTTCACAGTGTTTTAATTTGATAAGATTTTTTGCTGTAAAGAAAATTGCTGCCTATTTTATCTCGGGGGTCTTATCCCTCCCCTTTCACCCCTCATTGCTCGCTGGCAGCTCAACACAGAGTCACAACATTCAAGCAGAGACACTTCAGAGTCCTCCACTGAAAAAAACACGTTCACGATTCAATTGTGTCAGGAACATCATATTACATCAGCACAGCTGTCTTGTGCTGTTCATGCAATACATTTCATTCTTTTCCCACCACTTGACACATTAATTTTGGGATGTTTCTTTTGGTCCATTCCTCATGAAATTTACACACAATGTAAAGGGCAACGGCTGTTATATATCTCCACAACACTAGGGGGCAGCCTGCATTCTGATGCGACAACTTTTCAGGCAATGCAATGTTCTATCGAAAGCACTGCAGTCACCAAGTGACCACAGTCTCTACTCTGCTAGCAATGGGAATAGATAGACGTTCAAGCTCACTGTTGCCTTGTGGGCTCAAAACAACTACCAAGGCCCACAGCGTCCACAGAGGAGGTCTGGCAAAGTGGCAGTGACTGGATCAGATGCTGACTCTGCTATAAGTTACTACAAGGAATTATATTTTGGTGTGCCGGTTTAAGAAATTCGTGATCAGTTTCAGGAATATGACGTGGAAAGCCTGATCGCACTGAACAGCATTCTCGGCTCTAGAACACACACTGAAGCAGATTTGGTGTTTCTTTGTCATCACTACAGATTTCCCAAAGAGGAGACGAGTGCAGAGCTGTCCTCTTCAACGCTATAACATTAGAAGAAATCAGCTTTGATCAATGACTAGCACTTTTTAAAGCGTCAGATCTGGATGATAGCCTAGTAAACGTTGGTAACCTCTTCAAGTTGTTCCTGACCGAGCCAATGAGCAGCACATCATGCGAAAGGAACTTTTCTTGCTTGCGTCAATTAAAAAAAAACTTGAGAAACACTCTGAGTCAGGAGAGACTGTCTAACATTGTGGTGCTGAATACTGAACAGGCCATTCACGTGGACTTGGACAAAACAGTCTGTGCATTTGATGCTGTGCCCAGTGGGTGCTGTCTTGTAGTCCACCAAGGGAGGGCATCGTTTATTCTTTGATAAATGTAGGTTATTTGCTAAAAATAGGATTTATTCTTGCTATATAGTTGACTGAGATGGCTTGCCCCCCTGGCATAAGTCTCAAATGTTGCCCATATATATATATATATATATATATATATATCGCTGCTGTTGAACCAAAACCTTGTATCTCCATTTTTGTCATTTTTCAGTTTTTTACATAATTGGAAAATACATACTGTCCTTTATATTGTGTGTAAATTTCAACATCAGTGGACCAAAAGAAACAGCCAAAATTGCATTACAATTGGGTCAGACACAGCGGTGCCTCTGGAGTTTTTAAACCCTGTGTCCACTCACTGTCCACTCTATTACACACTCCTACCTTGTCAGTCCACCTTGTAGATGTAAAGTCAGAGACGATAGCTCATCTGCTGCTGCACAGTTTGTGTTGGTCATCCTCTAGTCCTTCATCAGTGGTCACAGGACGCCGCCCACAGGACGCTGTTGTCTGGATATTTTTGGTTGGTGGACTATTCTCAGTCCAGCAGTGACACTGAGGTGTTTAAAAACTCCAGCAGCACTGCTGTGTCTGATCCACTCAGACCAGCGCAACACACACTAATATATATACATATATACAACCCCAGATTCCAGACCTCAACATAACTAAATATGTACCAGCCCAAAGACTGAACATTGACGGTGTGGAAAATATTCCTGCAGATTTCTTTGAGAAACTGAAAGTGAGTCTCCTGACAAGAATGGAAGCTGTAATAAAGGTAAAGAGTGACACACTTCATATCTCAGCCTTACAGACACACTAATAAAACAGCATAGTCACATAAAAATTCATTTCGGTATGTGAAGACACATAAACACCAGCGGACCTCAAGGAAAAAGTGCAAGAAAAATGTAGACTTGGCCTTTTAACACATTTTATGCCGAACTACTCATAAAAGAATGAATAATGTAGAGTTTTGTGTCAGATGTAGAACTTCTGGTTTGATCTGGACATTTCTTGGAGAAGCTTGGCTTGAAAAAAAAAGTTTAATTTCATAAATCTGATTGAAAGAAATACTGAAAGAAATGAAAGTGTTGTAGGGGGAGATAAGCCCCCGGCTGAGCTAGTTTTAAGACTAATTTCTGTGGCACAGCAGGGCCTCTACAGACAGCAGTGCGTGAAGGGGACTGAAGGTCAGTTCTGCAGGATCACCGCAGATTTAATCCGCAACCTGAGGGCCAGAGGTGCCCACAGTTGCACCCCCGAGAGTGCTCATTGGTTCTGGACTGTCAGGCACCAAGGGCCTTCATCCAGTCCCTGCTGTCTGCCATCCTTTATTCGGAAGACTGGAGCGCATTAGCATATTCAGGTCTCATAAGGACCACTGAGGAAGAGAGTCTGGAGAAGAGTGTGAGAGAGTACGATAGTAAAATAAGACTCTGGGGGCTTTTCATGTTTTTGGATGGAAGTGGTGCAAAATTATCAACAAACAGCAAAATTTTCAGGTTCTTAGTAAGTATAGTGTGTATAAGCTCATTATTCGGGAGATGTTTCTGTGGGGATCAGATATAAAATAGCCTGTTTGCAAAAAGAAATAGAAAGTTGGAAGACAATAAGTGTAAACTCCAGAGTTTTGAAAACTCTTCAAAACAGTCAGTGTGTTTACATCCACTTAATATTCTGACAATCGCAGAAAATCATATTTTGTCAGTAATCCAATCAAAAGGCTTGCATGCACTTAGGTAATCAGATAATGGGGACACTCTGGGTCTACATGAGCCAGACAGTAATCAGATTTCTGCTTTGCAACCAGCCAATAAACTCAGAAGAAGACGTGATGTAAAGATAATGTAAAACTCAAACTTCATGCTGCAGCTTTAAAACGCTGCACAACTCTACCTGAAAATATGAACATACATCATTTAGAAGATGTATATCTTAGATGGTTATATATAGATGGTTTCAGCATCGCTCCAAAAGTGCTTTGCTGTGTCTCGCGGCGATGCTGCTCACTTATTTCCGGTACCGTGGTCTGTTTTCACGCATGTGCAGACTGAGAAATCCAAAAGAAATCAGAGTAAGAGTTCACATTCACTGAGAAATCTGATTAATGAGCTACAATCCGGCCTCTT